CAAATCATAAGCACAAATGTCAAGTAATAGTCAATGACATTTAAATTGAATTCATATACTAAAATTATATGCTCACAAATACAATGTCACAAGCGTAATGCATAAAATCGAAAATCACACAATGCTATGGAGTCCATTGAGGTGTGCTAGCAACACTGTACCGGAGCTAATCACGGTACTAACCCTATTGCGTAGAGGTCCATTAAATACCTCGAAGGGTCCACTAAATACCCCAAGCTTTAAACTTAGGTCCACTTACTCCGTAGCTACAAACACATACGCATGTCAAACAAATTCATAATATGTCCAAAATAATATTAGGACTCCATATTGGAAGAGATCAATGCATAATCGTGAACAGTAATCATGAATAGTAATCGTGAACAGTAATCGTGAACAGTAATCGTGAACAGTAATTCGCAAATAATACAATTTACTTATAATTCCTACAGCAAAAATCATACCCAAATCAAACAATAGAAAGGACTAACTCACTATATTTGCCATATAAACCCCAAAATTAAAGATATCTCTAATAAAAGTTTAATACCCAAAAATCTTATAAACCAAAGGATTAAAGTCAAATCTCACCAATTTAAACTACCCAAAACTCTAACCCAAAATTCATAACTAAAACTTATACTTACCTAACAAAAGCACCTTAACCTTGGTTGGAGAAAGGAGGAAGAAAAGGATGGAGGTGGAAGAGAAAGGCATAGGAAAACCAAATGAGGCTTTTGGGAGCCTTCTGGAGGCTTATCCAAGCTTCCACCAACAAAGACCAAAAACTTGGTTGGGAAAATGCCATGTGGTAAGCAATATTGGAATAATTGAGTTATGGTCATTCAACTTCTACTAAGTTTTACTTAAAACCCCCAAACTTTAAATTCAATCAATTTAATCCCTAAAACTATAAACTAAAGGACACTAATTTTTAAATTATTCACTAAGGTATGTGGGGTGTTACAAGTTTACTCTATATTTTGTTTTCTAATGATAGATGCTTGGAACTTGTGGCTTGTTTTATACTTTACTGGAATCTTCTCTTTAGTCTTTGAAAATGACTTGTTTGATTGTATTCTTTTCTCCGTTGGCTTTCTGAACTATAGTCATGAAATCCTTTGTAGCAATTTGATTTTGTTCATCATCTTTTCTATTTGAGTCAAAGTGTCATTGTTTACTATTGGGGTTCTTCTTATTTTAGTTTAATTTTGCTTTCTTTGGGTATTATTTGTGCAAGCAAAATGTCAATGAGTTCTATTTCTGCTTTGTCATTTTGATACTTAAATTTGTTGTAATGAGAGCACATAGTGTTGTTTAGTACTTGAAAGAAATATGATTTTATGGTGATTTTATTGGATTTAATTGAGATGGGATTTAGCTCTAAGAAAGACAAACTCCATTCTAATGGTGAAAACCTTAAGAGAGGGTTTGTTATAGTTTAATAACCTACTCAAATTTGGACATCCGGAGATATCCTCGCACATAAACATTTACCACATTTGTTTTGGTTTACTCAATATTTGTATGGTGGTTAGGTATCCACTTGGGAGGCTAGACCAAACTCACTGGCCACCATCAATAGAGAACATATATTTTATAATGAGGTCATAGGCTATTCAAGATTTCTAATCATAGTATTTTAGGGTCCCATTTCCCTTGAAGTTATGGAAAAGGTAAGAGCTGGACCATTTTTCCGCTTTGCTTCAACCTTGGTTTTTAGGCCAAATAAGAGTTAAAGAGACATTCCTCAATAATATGAAATCAAGAGGTTCCCCACAAAACAATTATCCCTTAAAACTAACATTTTTCCTAGATAGAAAGTATTTTATTCTTAGTTTCTTGGATATTCTTCTTAATTAATCTACTCAAAATTAATATACAAAAATATCAAACTACTATACCAAATGGAGTTAAAGTTTCACTGCTTTTACCAATACCATAAATTTAAGATTGCATGAGCTAAATATATATAGCTTCTTTTGCCACATTCTGCTAAAGAAAAGAAGATTGGCTTGAAGGATATTCTT